AACACCATTTTATCCCCTGGCTTATAGCCTTTTATGGACCTAACCTCCATGAAATTATCTAGCTTCTCTTTAAACTCTGTTATAGTCCTAGCCTTCACAGCCTCCTCTAGTAAGAAGTTCCACAGGTTGACTACACGCTGTGTGAAGAAGAACTTTCTTTTATTAGTTTTAAACCTGCTACCCATTAATTTCATTTGGTGTCCTCTAGTTCTCCTATTATGGGAACTAATAAATAACTTTTCTTTATCGGCCCTCTCCACACCACTCATGATTTTATATACCTCTATCATATCCCCTCTTAGTCTCCTCTTTTCTAAACTGAAAAGTCCCAGTCGCTTTAACCTCTCCTCATATGGGACCTGTTCCAAACCCCTAATCATTTAGTTGCCCTTTTCTGAACCCTTTCCAAGGCCAAAATATCTTTTTTGAGGTGAGGAGACCACATCTGTACACAGTATTCAAGATGTGGGCGTACCATAGTTTTATACAGGGGCAGTAAGATATTCTGGGTCTTCTTTTCTATCCCTTTCTTAATAATTCCTAGCATCATATTTGCCTTTTTGACCGCCGCTGCACACTGTGTGGAAGTTTTCAGAGAACTAATCTGTGCAGATAAGGTTTTTCTTATTGTTGAATGATTGTAAGAGCTATGGTACCATAGATTATTTTCAGACTATTCTAGAAGTACTAATGTCATAGATTGCAGTGGCAAGCATCCATTTTTCACCATCCTAGACAGAACATTGTACATTTAGCCAGATACAGATCAGCAGATCTCTTGTGATAGGGGAGGTTACATAAGAACATCACCTTGAGTAGTGATGCCTTAATTAATACATCAAGTTTAGGATAAAGAAGAACCAATTTACTATTATTTAGATTTGCAGTTATCCACACAATGTCATTTGGTATTTTTGCTCAGACTGTGTCCTATAGAAATGACGTTACAATTGTGACAGATGGCAGTAAAACTTTGTGAAAGTTTTTGAAGCAGTTATTATAAATGATGTACTTATGGAAATGTTTCTGGTAAAATAAGTTTACACAATAAGAGGTAAATCATATTTTCTCATAATGTCAAAATTGTTTGTAGATGTTATTCATAAAATGTACATTTTAGTGCATTATTGATAAATGCTTATGAAATCAACATGTGCCATGATTGTATAAAGACAGTGTTAACTTTTGGCATGCCCAATTTTGATGACAGTTAAAATAATGAATCCAGTTGTTACTTTCAATGTGTAACCGACTTCTTTTGAAAGTTCGCCCATTTTCAAAACATTTATTTCTCTTCTTCAAGCTTCCAAACACGGAGATGACACATATTACCCTAGATTTGTTCATTCATCTAATCTATCTAATGAAGATATAAAAACTGGGGCATCTGGCACCATAGCATGGATGCTGAATTCCCATATGACCAGATGGAACTTTTTGCATAATACAGGCCAGTGATTCCCAACCTTTTGTATACCGCAGACTGGCAAACCCATTCACAAACTTTTGGTGGACTGGTTACATTTTGTTTGCATAACTGATATACATGGAAATAAATTGTTACCAGTCCACCATATGTACCACAGCCCTGGCCCTGAGAACCACCGCGAACAGCTGGCTTGAGCTGTGGCAGCCGCCCACCACGTAAGGGCTGCTAGACTTGAAGCTGGTTGCTGTGTGGCAGTTCATGAGGTGAGGGTGTGCTCCGACCCCCAGAGCTGCTGTGAACAGCTAACTTCAGCTCTGGCAGCTGCCACAGGCTGGCGGGAACTGCTGATACAGGCCATACAATTTCACCTAACAATCCCTGCATCAACATAAATAATCTCTGAGATAAAGCTTTTATTTTAGAGGAAAAATCTAGTTTTGATTTAAAGATTCCAAGTGATGGAAAACTTATCACTTGCCTGAGTAACTAAGTAATTGTCCCCCATTTCAAATTTGTATCTTATTTCCAGTTTGTACTTTGCTGACTCCGACTTCCAGCCATAACCTTAAAACCTCAGGTTATATAGATATCTTTTCCCTGTGTAGATAAAAACCATGATCAAGTAATTTTTAAATCTTTTTTGCTAAGTTTAATAACAGGAACTACTTTAGACACATATCAGGCACATTTTCTATACAAAAAAATCATTTTTATAACTCTTCTCTGAATCTTTTCCAATTTTTCAATGTCCTCTTCAAAATATGGACATCAAAACTGGAGTCACAAATGCCATACTCAGAGGTAATGTCACCCTTTCTAGTCTTAAACTTACGAGAATGGCCAGGTATGATACATGATATCCTAAATGTGGCAGTAATTTTGACAAAGTATATAAATAATTGAAGCTCAGTGTGCATTGACTAAAACTTCCGGTAGCATCTCCTCACAAACCTCTTTTCTCCTCAAGCCTCTTCAAGCTCTGTTCACTATGCTTGCTCTCCCTTTCTTCCCATGCCTGCTCCTCTCCCTGTTGTCCACTCATCCCCCAGGTTCCTTTGGTGATGGTCTGTGTCTGGATGTTACCAGAATGAGTTCATAAAGCTGAATGATTTGTGGGACTATTGCTGTTCAACAGAAGGACCAAAGGAAATATGAAGAAAACAGGACAAAATTTCAAAAATATTTTTGTGTTTCCTCTGCAAAAGTTAACAAACTGAAAAGTCAGTGATTCTTTGAGTTACTGTGTTCAATTCTGAAGCAAAATTCACTTATTAAAGTAGGAAACAGTCATTAGTCCCGACCTTTAAGTGCCAATCTCAATATACTTGTAACTGTGGTTTCACTATTGATGGTTCCAAAGCATATGTATAGTGTTGATTTCAAATCCATGCTTGGTAATCTGTTTGAACCAGTCTTTTTTGTACAGGGTTTAATCTAAATTGTACCGGTGTTGTGGATTTTAACTTGCACGGTATATTGCATATTCCCCTTCTGAAATTTGATTTTTTTTTTACCAAGTGATGTTGAATAATCATAGCAAATAAAACAATCAAAGTATAAAAAGATTAAACATAGTAAGGAGAACAAATTATCCTTTACTATCAGTCAGGGTGCTGGAACAATTTTTATAATGGGGGTGCTGATCACAGAAACCAGGTTTTTGGTGTTTGTTTCAGCACCACTGCTACCAGTTGCAGATCTTGGAATGTTTGGTAAAGCTCTTCATATGAAGGAGGTGTCCACATATCATTATGGCTAAGAAGCCTTTGCATGACCTTTTGGAACCTTCCTAAAGTCATTACACACATGCACATTTGACTTTTTAATTGTTCAAAATCTGGAGCAGGGTTAGAATCTGAGTGCAGTGTAGGATTTCTCCTGAACATAATGGGAAGCCATGTGCTTTCAGGATAATGTAGGCATGGAACTACAGAAGAATTAACTAGAGATTTCTAAACTGAATGTTTTCTATTAGATGATAGCAAGTAATTTAGCAATATAGCGGTACTGGAAAGTTCTTTCTCTGCTCAAGATTGTTTTTAAGACTGAATTGATATAGAATATAAATATCACTCATTATCCTTTATAAGGTTGTTTTCAAAGTCACATAAGTCTACAGCTTCCCCTTACTTGTCTTCAGATTTTTACTTTAATGAAGTATTTGTTCTGTTAGTCTGCAAACTCTTTTCCTGAGCTTAACCCAGTGGAGTTCAGAGGGCTATGCACAGTCTTAGAGCTATCCCTTTCATCTTCCTAACCAGAACTTTGGGCTAACCAAAGAGAAGACTTCTCACTCCCTCAGCATCCCAAGTTTTATACCATAAATGCTGAGCCAAGTGATGTGCAGATACTTATATTATGGATAAAGGTCATCATAGTTGTGTACTTCTCCATGGAGTCTCAGTGATTTCATTAAAAAAAATAAAAACCAGCTGAACTTGTAATCACCAATCAAAGCAAAGAGGTTTGGAGCAGCCAGTCGGGATACATTAATTTACAGGAAGCCTCCATGTACTAATTAGCTGGTTGGTTAATAAGCAGAGTAGAGTAAATTGCTTACATGTGATATTGAGAAATAACCACGCATTAATTATGCAAATCAGATTTCTCAGCTGATCAGAATGCAAAAACAATTGCATCACTGACAAATAAGGGTCAGTATGAAATGCATCTCTTCCCTCTGACTGGTTAAGACAGTCAAGTCCATTTCAGTATAGTGGTTCATAATGTGCATTGGGCAGAGCTATTAAGTAGCACTATGAAAGAAAAATAATTGTGTGCTGTTCATCTGGGGGTTTCTTATGGAAAGCGATAACATGATGCCATTAGGAAACTCAACAAGACAATAATCTACATCCATTCACAAGAAGCAGCAGAAGTTTGAACATCTGTTTCCCTCTATTGAATTCATGAAAGGGCTTCTCTGCACATAGAAAAAAATGGACTAATAAACAACAGTTGGGGAACATTATCTTCTTCATTTACCATAACATTGAAATACACCAAGTGTAATAAAGGGGAGGTATTTAAACAGCTTTCCAAACAAAACACCCCACCAATTAGTAGATCTTTTAAAAGTATTACATTGAGTTATTACTGTATCTATTTACATTTCATAAAATACATTATAAAAGAAGCATGGTGTTGGGAAAAGGACAATTACAACTCATTATCAAAGATAAATTGCCTACAAGAAATAGAGCTGCAATTTTGGGCTACAAAATCAAATGGGTTATATTATAAAATGGTGCTAGTATGTGCTAAAAAAAAATCCTAACCAGCAATGTTTAGGAAAAAAAAGTTTAAACTTAAAATATGGGATTTTGCCCCCCAGAATCAGTTTTGGAAGGCGAATAATAATAATAAAAGGAACTTTGGACCCAAGCCTCAAGTTCCCTGCCAAAGGGTTGTAATACAATCTCGCAGAGTTTCAAGGGTAATTCAGTGTCAATTGCGCTTGCCGTCCCCCAGAAAAAGTAAGCATTTAACTTCCGTTCAGTCCATGTGGACTGATGAAATGTAGGAAATCTGTTTCTGGAAGGGGGGGCGGGAGAGGGTTTCCAAAGAGAGCACCAAGCGGAGCGAGCAGAAGTATGAAGAGTGGCAGTGCTGCTGCTGGTGAGCTCAGGCGGGGAGAACCGGACTGGCTGCAGGAAGCAGAAGGCTCTGTGGCACTGCACGAAGAAAGTGAGTGAGCTTTCTCCCGAGCTTAGGGAGTGCGGGGTGAGGCACGCTGCACTCGCAAATGGCTAACGAGGGGGGAGAGCGCTGCGAACGGCTACTGTAGCGAGCGCAGGGCAGGCATCTGGCTGGATTTACAGAAGCCAGAGCCCGGGTATCTTGAAATTGTGAGGTGGTCGTTTGTTGCAGGGCTGCGTTTGAATGCGGACAGAAAAAGGGGGGGGGATTTAAGCAGGGAATAAGGTTTTTCCCTTCAGTCTGTCACCTTAGAGCGGAGGTACCTTTGGTTTTCTCCCTCTCAGCTCGAACTTGCGAGAGATCTCACCCTCCCAGCGAGTTGGCAAGGCAGAAGATGAATGGACACGGCAGGGGAAGCGCCGCAGCAGAGGGAGGGCGAGGGAGGAGGAGAGCGGGGCTAGGAAGTTTGCAAAGCGCTCCTGCCCAGGTAAAAACCTTGCTCGTGCTACACGCTGGGGGAGCGGCCCCCACCCTCCTCGCCTTTGACGATCTGGAGTTTGCAAGTGTCACGGCGGCAAAGTGTCGGGTGGGGAGGGGTGCAATGTTCATGATTTGGGAATGATGCTTATTTCCAGCTCAGGAGCTTGGCAGGGTGCAGCCTCCCCGCGCGAATAGCACGAAGGCTCGTGAATGGCGTTTGCAGCGTGTGCGCCTCAGGGAGCCGGGAAGCTGGGCTGCACACACGGCAAAGCCGGTGTAGTGAGCAAAACACGGGCCCAGCAGTGGGACACGCCACGCTAACTCCTCCGAGGGGAGCTGCGCCCTTGCGTGGGGTCGGGCTGGGGGGGAGTGGCGGGCCCCAACATGCGCTCCCAGGAAGGGGCTCTTCGTGCTTGACTGACAGTCTGACCCAGTCGGGACCCTTCTTTTCGGCCTGCCCCTACCCCCTTCCCTCGGGTTGCAAGACAAGGGACAGGGAG